ATAAAAAATAAAGCAAGCATACTCAGTGGATATGATAAACTCCTGCCCAGAAACTTATATCCCCACTGTGGAAGGACATGTGGATCTAGAAGTGGCCTCCACAGTCACTTATGGACTCACTGTTAAGACCGTGTTCATGGAAGATAATCTTACTTGGCTACAAGTGATCGCCAAAGACAATTCCCATACAAGCATTGAGTGCTGTCACCACAACAGAAACAAGATTGCTGGAGCAGGTTAGTCATTATAGGGATATTCCTGGCTCCATCATAAGAATGTATTGTCATCGCTATGAGGTAACAGAGTCTATCAGTGAATAGCAGAAATTAATAAATGGTAGGATTTTGATTATTTGTTGTAAGAAGGGAAAATACAGCAGAGGAATTCCTGGACTAACCTATGCAAAAAGACCTGGATGAGCTATGACCATTAAGAAACAATAGAGGGCCATTAAGAGCCATTGGCAATGCAAGAAAACTCTCCTTCCTTCCCTGCCCTGAGATGTGAACAGAGACAGGATATTTGGAAGGTTGGTAGGGTAATGGGGTATGTCGTCACTGGAAAGGTTTGGTGCCTTTGGCTTGCAACAGCTGAAAAAAAAGGACAGAATGATCTTGGATGGCTGTTGAAGGCTGGCTGGGAGAGATGCCCTGGAAAGTCAGGGGCTGCACTTCTGTGGAGAACAAGCCCCTCTTGAGATGAGCATGCTGTAAGATCTGGACTCTCTCTATGTAGACTAAAGGTTGCTGTTGTTGTTTAGTCGTGTCCGACTCTTCATGACCCCATGGACCAGAGCACGCCAGGCACTCCTGTCTTCCACTGCCTCCCGCAGTTTGGTCAAACTCATGTTGGTAACTTCGAGAACACTGTCCAATCATCTCGTCCTCAGTCGTCCCCTTCTCCTTGTGCCCTCCATCTTCCCCAACACCAGGGTCTTTTCCAGGGAGTCTTCTCTTCTCATGAGGTGGCCAAAGTATTTGACCAAAGTATTTGACCAAATGTGATCCACCTGGAGCAGGAACCGGCAAGCCACTCCAGTATCCCTGCCAAGAAAACTCCATGGACAAAGACTAAAGGTGTAAATATGTGTAATTAAACCATATTTCTAAAGGCACGGCAGTCTCCACTGTGTCCGAATTATCACAGGAACACAGACCCTCGGTGAGCACCTGGAACTTCCTGGAATCTTGTCACAGCTTGTTAGAGATTGGTGGTGGCTTCCAACTTTTGTAACCATAAGAAGCACTTGCAGTAGCCTTACACAGAGTCCGAGCATTGGGCATATTTTCTCCCTTTTCTGTCGTATTTCTGGGCCAGCAGAAGTCTGCTTTCTATGAGTTCCTTTATGTGAACGTCCCGAAGGTGTCTTATACATGGCATGTGCCTAAGTGGATTGCCCCCTAGGCCACATAAAGAACCAGAATGTAGACATCTCTGAATCTGCATTAAACAAAAGATGCTTTGAAAGAAAGAGTTTGAGGCTAAAGGTTATTATCTTTATAATATTTTTTAAAAATAATTTTTATCCCGTGTTCCTAGAGTGGCCATCCAGATTACTAAAAACAAAAATGATAGTCCCTGACCCCAGGAGATAGTAAGCAATTGCATGCACAAGTTTTTAGTTACAAAAATAAGGAACAGAGAATAAAAAAGAAGAGCTTACCAGAGACATCTCACCAGAGTAGTGGCAATGCCCCTAGACTAGTGTGATGGTTGAAGCAGAATGTCATCTGCAATGGGCAGGCTGTTGTGTCAAGTCCAGGGGAATGTCAGTCACCCAACAGAGCTAAAAACAGCCCTGCAGGGATGAAATCCTACCTCAACACAAACACATAATTAACAGCACATTCAAAACACAGGAATGAACACACACACACACACACACACACACACACACACACATGGCCACAAAGTTCCCTGAGGAACCTGGCTCAGGCATTCATTCTCTCCCTCCCTCCCCTCTCACACACAGAGTTTTACTGCCAGTGATGCATGAGGGGCCAAGCAGGCAGTTACCAATGCTTTTGCCTTGAAAGAAAGAAAGAGAAAAAGAACAAAGAATGGAAGCAAAAACTGGCCTTTGTAGTTCAAAGCATCCTGCAATTGCATGAGCAAGAGGCCAGAAAACACCACACTGTATCTTCTTCCCCATTTTGCAAAAAGGGGAGGGGGAAACTGCAGAAAGGGAAAAAAGAAGAGGGGAATAGAATGAGCTGTCTCAGTGGTCCGGACTCCCGAACAACTGACAACCCAGTAAGCAAGAGGCTGGCCCCCTGGCAAGAGGAAGGAAAAGGTCCCACATGAAAAGTGACTGAGAAACTTTTTTTAAAAAACTACAACCACCCATCACTCCAACAATAAAAATAAAATAAACAACCAATTGTTTTAAAACGTTTTTAACATTGCATTTCATTGTTAGAACCCAGCCAGGGACTGTAGGGTGAAAGGTGGAATAATAATAACAATAATAATTTAATAGGAGCAGCAGCAGAACTGAGAAGTCATGGGGCAGGGGGTCAGACAAGGTGGCTGGGAAGCTGGGAAGGAAGGACCTAAATTCCTCTTTCTACTTCACTGCTCATTCAGGTCCCTCCCCCTGCCCCCACAGCAGGAAGCTCTTTCTCTGCTTTCTCTCCTCTCTGCCAGGGTCCCTTAGGAATGAATCTGTTGTCATCCCTCTGCTATTTCCCTCTCTGTCTCTCCACACTGTCCCTGAGTGACCTTAGTGAATTTTGTGGCTTACAGAACCACCCCTTCATGGTTCTGTAGGCCACCAGATCCTGCTCTACTTCTCAGCTTTTTCTTTCCATATTATTATTACTTATTGAATTCATTAGTCACTTTATCTTGTTCAGGGCAACCCAAAGCGATTTACAACTGATATAGTAACCTCCCTATAATAACCTCACATCTCTAACTTGCCTGTCTGGAGATTTTTACTTGGATCATAAAAGCATCAAACTCAATATGATCAAAACTTCTCATTCTCCCTTCCTCTCCTATTCTCTAAAGATCCATCCCTGTTACCACCCACCCTGTCAACCAGGCATGACGCTTCTCTCTCCTGCTTCCCCTGAGTATTCATTCCATCACCATTGTGCAACTTCCCTCTATTCTTTGGTGATCACTTGCATCCGAGTAAGATTGTCTTCCATGTAATGAATTGAAGAAAATGTTTAAAATGACATTTGTAAAAAAACCAGAAGCATTTTTGTTAGGGATTGTAGGACAAGACCTACCAAGGAAAACAAAGAACTTATTCATGTATGCTACAACAGCGGCAAGAGTCTTGATAGCACAAGGATGGAAGAACGAGGAAACCCCGACAAAGGAACAGTGGGAAGAAAAATGGATGAACTATGCAGAATTGGCTAAACTGACATACAAACTGCGAGATAAGGACAACTGTGACTTCAAAGAAGAATGGGAACTTTTTACAAAGTACTTAAAAAGACAACAAAATGAACTGGACTCCTTGGCAGGTTTTGAATAAACATACACAAATTTATTGATTGATAACATGGTAGATAGATAATACAAGGATTGAAATAATTTTATAATATGCAGAGAATAACGTGTGCTGAGAAATCAGAGAGAGGAGCTAAGGGAAGTCTCAGAGGGAGGAGGGTTTGATGGGGAATGGGAAAAAAGGGGGAAAATAATGAATATGATGTTTTGCTATTGTTATGTTGAAATTGTTAATATATTTTTTTTAAAAAAGGGGGAAAAAGATTGTCTTCCAAGAACACAGTCTTAGAGGTGTGTCTGTGACTGTGGAGGCCAATTCTAGATCCACGCATCCTTCCACAGTGGGGACATAGGTTTCCAGGCAGGAGTTGATCATGGTGAGGGTTTGCCAAATGTGCCTTCCTCTTAGCTCATTTCTCCCTTTTGTCCTGAGTTTGTGTTGCTTTTTTTGTTGACTTCCTCTATACAAACATGGTGAAAATTCCCTTCCTTCCCACTCCCACTAGTTATCTACCACCTGAGGAATTGTCTTTCCCCTATTCCAGTCCCAAGGGGAAGAGCTGCCATTTAGTAGTAGAGAATCTGCTTTGTACACAGAAGGTCCCAGGTTCAATCCTCAACATCCTCTAGGTAGGGCTGTGACTGGGAGAGAGACTCCCTGTCTGAAATCCTGGAGAGACACTGTCAGTGTGAATAATACTGAGCTGAATGGAACAATGGCTTGATTCATCTACTCCAACCCCCTGCAATGCTAAAGCATCCGAGACAGATGGCCATTCAACCTCTGCTTAAAAACCACCAAGGAAGGAGAGTCCGTCACCTTCCGAGGGAGTCCTTTTCACTGTGGCTCTTAATGTCAGGAAGTTCCTCCTGATGTTTAGTTGGAATCGCTCTGTTTTATGTCCCTCAGAGCTATCATAGCTACTCCCCATCATTTGATGGCCAGTACTAATGTGGTGGGTTCCTCTATGCACTCTCTCTTCTTGTGTCTATATGCAGGGCTCCCATTCTCTCCAAGACCTTCAGATATTCCTTGTGCTCATCTTGTGGGCTGCCCACTGCGAGAGCTGGACGCTGGTCTAGAGCAGGGGTTGGCAACCTAAGGCCCATGGGCCACAAGCGGCCCACAGGGGTCATTTAACCAGCCCACAAGCTGCCCCCGAACTAAGCCGCCTGCTCAGTGAGTCCCTGCGCGCTGCACTAAATCAGCACAGCGCGGTGTGAGGACTTGCTTCTGTGGCACCGAAAATTGCATCTGTGTATGCTCAGATGCCGAAAAACACATGTGTGCAGACACAGATGTCGGAAATCGCATCTGCACAGATGCAGATGCTGGAAATTGCGTGCACTCTTACACACGCGATCTGGCCCATGTAGGGGTCTCCGCTGGAGTAAACTGGCCCAGGCGAGGTAAACCTTGCTGACCCCTGATCTAGAGGCTTCACTGGCCTGATTCAGCAGATGCTGCTTACGTTTTTGGACAGCTCCCCCACCGGGCATTCTTGGCATGCATTTTAGCATATCCGGAATTCACACCAGCCTTCCGCTGCCTACGTGCGAACGATCCTCACGGATTATCTGGTGTAGCGATCTCTGCTCTCTGGCTTTTAACCGATTTCTAGCTGTTTCGAGTGTTCTATTCGCTTGGAGACTTGTGTGTGTAAAGCGAGGAATAAATGCTGATAAAGACCGCCATTCCTGAGCGGGAGCTCCGCTTGGAAGCGAGGGCCACCGATTTCAGTTGGAGACGAGGCATTTAACACCACCTCCTCGCCGCCCCGTCTCCAACTGCAGCAGCGGCCGGGGCAGAAAAGGCGAGGCGCTAAAGCTGAACGATCCGGCGACTCCGCGGGCGCCCGCCTCCAGCGTCGCGCTTGGCAACCACCGTGCGGCTTAAGACGCGAGAGACGCCGCCCTTGGCTCATTGGCCGAGCCGCTCCCTTCGCCCGGAAAGCCCAGCCCCGCTTCTTCTGCCATCCCCCCTCCCGTCCCCGGCGCTCAGCCTATCCGCGACCGGCCAGCGTCCGACGGCGGCGCAGTCACGTCCTTCTGCTCGCCGGGGAGGGTCCGTCTGCCTGCCTGCCTGCTGCCCGTGGCTCTCCCGCGATGCTGGCCTCGGCGCCTGCAAGATCCGCCCCGTTCCACGCCGCCTCCGCCGCCGCCGCCCCTCCCGCCGCTCACCAGAAGCCTTGCTGCGGCCACGGCAAAGACACGGTAAGGCGGACGAGCCAGATCGGCCGCTACTGGCGGCGCCGGGGCTGCTTGCCAGCCTCTCTCCGGGCCGCCGCAGGGATCGGGAGGGAAGGCGAGCCGGGGCAGGCGGCCTTGGCGCGGCTACTGCTCCCCTGCCCGCCGCAGCCGGAGAGAGGGATGCTGGGGGAAGGAGAAGGCTTTGCGCCACTGCAGGCCTGGGAGGTGGCCGTCGCGAGGATGGCGAGGAGAAATCGCCTTGCCCTCCAGCGCGACCCCTGGCGCCTTGCCCTTTCTATTTCAAGGCCGCGAAGGCTGCCTGATCGGCGCGCCGCCGCAGGCCCCGGAAAGCCCTGGACGAAGCCGCCTCGCTTCGCCGCCGCGGGCGCCCGAAGCCCTCTCGCGGGCCTCCCTCGTGCGCATCTGCTTCCCATCAGACCTCTTTCCGCCTCTCCATCCTTCCCTCCCAGAGGTGCCCGGCTGGCCCTTGGCTGGCACCTCTTCTTCCAAGCCAGCGCCATCTGCGTGCCAGCCCATCCCCGCCGGGGGCTCCTGGAAGACGGGGACGAGGGGGGTCCGCCGCTCCCCTTCTCCCCGCGCTCAGCAGCACCGAGCTGTAGGTGACCTCTGTGCGCGAAGCGTGCTTCGCGCCGACTCCTCGAGCTGAATGCTCCTTGCGCTCCTGGGCAGCACATACCCAAGTAGTAGCGAGGCCAGATGGTGTGACCCCGGGGTAGGCCACAGACACGGTAACGTGGGCTTGGCAAGGTCTAGATGCAGCGCACAGGTAACAGTGTCGTCGCCTTTCCTGGCTACCTGTTCGTGGGTGCTGCTTCCCTCCAGTTTCCTCTTTTCAGGTTCTTCTCCTTGACCTCTAAATGCCCCTAATGCCCTTGCGTGTTCTTATATCTGCTGGATGAAGGCAAAAGTTCAATGGGCGGAGAACATGGAGTCATGAGGTTTTGCCCCAAAGGGATGGGTGTATTTGAATGTCTTCAAATGGACGTAGATAATTCTAAAGGAATGTCATTTTAAAAATAAATAGCAAGGGTTTTTCAAAATTCAAGAGCATGGCTACATCAAATTCCACTGTCTGCAATGGGAAATACCTTCATTCTCAGATTGATTTTGATGTGTTTCAAAAGGGCTATCTGAATGTGCTCTGTTTTTGCAGCTGATTTTTGCAGCCATTATGGCTGGATGCAGATTGTATTTGTTGCCCTAGGCAGAAGCCTAGTGCCATTCATAAGGCCAATATAGCTGCTAAGTAGATAGAATTCTACAGTGCCTATTACATTACATATATCTAGCAAATAAACAGTTAATTATACCTGGGATATTTCTAACTTTCCATGTATACTGTCACAATCCTTTTTGTTTGTAATAGAATTAAACACAATATTAACTACTAGCACAAATTCAAAGCCATTGACAACCAAAGGTATGGGGATAAAACATAAATGTGTGTTTTGAAAATGTGCTTTGGTATTGAGCAAAAATGACACATGACATCCAATTCTAAACATGCTTTTAAAAGTACATGTGAGACTAATGTTTCTTTCACACTTCAGTATGGAACTGTGATTTTTTTTTGACATGACATGCTAAATTTCATTCACACCAGTGGCTACAGTGTTCATTGGACAATGTTGCTACTCCCTCATCCTTTCTGCACATGTGTGCTTCTGTTCCAACTTGATTCCCCCGTGAAAATGGCAGGAAAAATCTGCATGCTAATCACCACCTCTGATTTCATCATTTTACTCCTGCTATTTTTTTGTTTTTTGTTTAGTGGGGTTGCAAACAGATTCTTTGTCAAAAGCAATGCAGAGAGATAGCATCCACTTTCAGATACACTTGAGATATATGGCCACAGGTTCCTGATTCGGCAGGTGATAACATGTGCAGAAGTCAGATGTCCTCAGCTGGTTCAGGTTGACTGACTGGAAATCCAAGGGATTGAAGGCTACTGTATGAAAGAAGCATGTACACTGTCATATGTAAATATTCTGGCTGCCAGTACAGGTGTTGTCTTCCAGACAAGTGTCCAAGGAGCAAAACAGACTCATGTAGCCATTCACATATTACATTTAGCAGATACTGATCTCAGTGGGAAGTTACACTGAGGCTATTGTTTTTCAGTTGCTCCATTTGCATATGCCTCTGCTCTTTTAGCAAGGTATATACTAGTGATGTGCTTTCCTTTTAATACAATTCTTTCAATAGAACTGTTCATGTGTGGGCAACATTGGTGAAATCTTCTCCAAGATGCCCTGTTAAAAGGCTTCCCAGCAGTTTTCATAAAGTCTGTAGCAGAAATAAAGCAACATATTTAAAAAGACACCTAGAGGCAAAGTAAGAACAAAATCTAATTCATAAAACACAAAAGAAGAAGGTATTTTCCTTCCAAACCTGAGCTTCTTGCTGAAAAGTTATTGCAGCATGATTTTCAGTTGATACATATATATGATGAAGCTACAGTTAGATTCTCGGCTATATATGCAAATTTAAGAACAATAATAGAGTTCAATGCAACTGACTTACTAGTAAGCTTGTATAGGATGTCAGCCTAAATTTGATACAGAGAATTAGCTATGCTAATAAAAATAATAAAATCTGCTTTCATCAGGGCAGCGAAACCTGTGGCCTTCCAGATGTTGTTGGACTCCAACTCCCAGCAGCTCTGGCCAGCATGGCCAATGTTCAGGCATGATGGGAGTTGTAGTCCTGTAATATGTGGAGCTATAATTGTTTTCTGAATAAAAATCCAAGGTGAGTCTGTAAACAAGTTCCCTATCATTTCAGCGGCATGTCATACTGTTGCTTTGAAGGAACATATCTTTTAAACACAAAGCTCTGCCATGATTTATTTATTTGAGAAATGATACATTTGGGCCCATCTGTCATTCCTGTTCTCCCGTATCTTCGTCCAGCTAGGGGGTGGAGTCAGGACTGAGTGCTCACAATGCTGCATTCAGATCTTGATAATGAGTATATGAAAGGTACATCAAGATTGCAGGATGGATATCACTGGAGAGAAGGCAAAGAAAATCCTCAAATGCACAACGTAAAAGCACAGAGCCAGAGAACTGTGCACTCACTGTCCTTTTACCACCTAAGGAAAGCAGGAGCTGAGTGCAAACTGTTTCTCACCAAGGAACATTAGATGCAAAAGGCGAGGACTGGTAGAAGTCAGATACTGACTGAGGGTAGCAAAGATGAGATAGACATGACGTAGGTGACAGTGGAGATAAGATAAGGCTAGCGCTGTTAGGAATGGGTTGTGTGTGTGTGTGTTTATATAGACATATGGGAGGGATAGTGGCTTGATATATAAAGAAGAAATTTGGTCCATTTTGTTTGTTGTTTATTGAAATGTTTTAAGAAGATACAATGAAAGAACCCCCTCTCCCCAATTCCCAGCAATGCAGTTAGTGATAATGGACAGGTAGCATTAAATCTGCAATGTCCCATTTTTCTCCCTGCCCCATGCCTTTCATGTCATTGATGTGTCAAGTTCTGTGCCTTAAATAAGGCACCATTTACAGTTACTACATATATTGATTTGACTATTCTGGTAATCAAATTTTTACAATGGAAAAAAGATTAAGAGAGAGAGAGAGAAAACAAATCAGTGTTGGTGGTGCAGAGGGAGCAAAATCCGTCTTTTCAGTTTGCAAAAGATTCCAAGAAATTATGTGGGATATTTTGAAATGTATATTCCACCCTTCTTTTAATATAATGTATTATTGCTTGTGAGCTGCAAGATCTAAGAGGTCTTTCATCAGGAGACTTGGCGACTTTCCACTTCTGCAGTCTGATACGTTTGGCTCTGACTTCTGTGGTGGCCACATCTCTGTGCTTTAAACATTCCCTATGTAAAAGGTATGGATTCCAGCCTATAATAGTTGGGAGAAATTATTCCTCTGAAGTAGGAAACATTTACAGGTGACTGAACAGAACCTCATACAGTGTGAACAATTGCTTGGGCAGCACTGGAGTATATGGACCAAGTTAGCAGATGTAGGATTTCTTCCTCAGCGGGTTATGTATCTAGTTTGAGAGTCACTAAAATGGCTGCTGGCCATCATAGCTATGCTCTGCCCCAGTGGATGGAGGCAGTAATGCTTCTAAAAACCTGGAGCCACAGGAGGGGAGAGTGTACTTGTGCTTGAATCCTGCTTGTTGGTTTCCCATAAGCATGTGGTTGGCCACTGTGAGAACAGAATGCAAGACTAGATGACCGTTGGCCTGACCAAGCAGGCTCTGATGTTCTTATGTAAAAATATTATCAGCAAATGAGTAGCAAGGCATTTTCCTACCACTTCTGTGTGGTCAGGTCAAATCCCATGCAAAATGTCACTTCAGTCAGTATGACTGTGAAGTCTGCGTGTGGGTTAGAGCTGGAATTTTATGGAGGTTTGACTGTGGAGCAGGAAGTCAGAACAAATATTAGTCTCTTGAATCACCTTTGTATTTAGTAATATGAATGTGTAAATCTTACTGAGGCTGATATCATTCATGTTCTGTGGGCTGAAGGGCATAGGTTTGATTGCTTTCTGCACCTGTTCACACAGTAAGTTGGGGAGAATAAGGTAGGTTTCAAAGTATGTAGAAATTCTTTGCTTACAGTAGCTTTGTGGCAAGGTGTGCTACCAGTGTTTGAAATTGGTCAGGCGCCAGCCATATTTTCCAGCTGGCTTTTGACCACTTGCAACCAAGTGAAGATGGACTGTTTTCACACACTGATACCCCATCCTGTAGAATTCTATCAGTTATATTTTATCTGCACAATTGGAATGAATTTCTGGAATCAAATTGCTTTCTCTGTGCAGCCTGAAGCAGCAGCAGTCACCATTAAGAAAAAAAAAGTTGGAATGGGCCTCTTATATGTGACTGTCCCCAACCAAGTTGGGAGAATGCTGTTCCACTCAGGGCCTGATTCTGGGCTTCCAGTGGGTACCTGTGCACTGTGAGAACAGGATGCTGGACTTGGTGGGCTTTTGGCCTGATTCTGCAGGGCTTTTCTTGTGCCCTTAAAATAAGATATGAAAAGTTTTTGTTTTTTTAAGACGGCAAATAATTCCTTTTGGTTTAAAAAATGAATTGTTCCATGCCCAAGGGTCCAGAACAATTTCAACTTGTCATCCCTTTGTGCCTATGCAGACTTGTATTTATTTTTAGAGAAAGTTCTTATGCCGTTTTGTTGGTGCTGACCTTTAAAGCCTTAAACGGCCTCAGCCCTGTATACCTGAAGGAGCGTCTCCACCCCCATCGTTCAGCCCGGACACTGAGGTCCAGCTCTGAGGGCCTTCTGGTGGTTCCCTCGCTGCGAGAAGTGAGGCCACAGAGAACCAGGTAGAGGGCCTTCTCTGTAGTGGCTCCCACCCTGTGGAACGCCCTCCCATCAGATATCAAGGAAATAAACAACTACCTGACTTTTAGAAGATGTCTGAAGGCAGCCCTTTTTTGGGAAGTTTTTAATGTTTGATGTTTTATTGTATTTTTAATATTTTGATGGAAGCCGCCCAGAGTGGCTAGGGAAACCCAGCCAGATGGGCGGGGTGTTAATAATAATAATAATAATAATAATAATAATAATAATAATATATTCAGTGCTAGGGATATACAAGAACAAACTTACTTTTCTTTTAGAGGGAGGCTTCTTAACCCGAGTATGAAGGAACTCCAACCTATTCCTGCCAGGTGGTGTTTCCTAAAACAATTAGCTTCTAAAGCTTGCTACCTAACTTTGCTTCCACAACATCTTTTAAAAATGTAATAATCCTATAAATTGCAGAATCATGAGGTGGGACAACAGATGCCAGAGTTTAGTGTTGCTAAGTCAGGAGTGCTTAACACTGACTTGCATTTTGTCCCTGCTATTTCAGTCTTGGTGATATCCTTGAACAGGGATTGAGTCATGTGATAGCTTTATCATCTTCAAGGCTGGGATCAGACACTGACATGCAGTTTCACTTATGACCCAGTCAGAGTTCACATTCTGAGATCCCAGAACTGATATATAGGGGCATTTACAGGCTGCCCTGTTAAGACCCCGCAGCCCCACTCATTAAGCTCGTTGAACTTTCAACTTGTGGAGCCTGACAGTTGTCTTTGAACTACCGCAGACCTAAAACGACTGATCAGCTCTTGCACAGAGGAAGCAAGTAACTTTTCCTCCCCTTGATGATTCATATCTTAATCGGGGTTAACCACAGAAAAAACACTGTGATATTGTCTGTTTCAGACACCTGATCCCCTGTGAAGTTAATAGTTGCTTAGAACTCAATTCTCATTAGATACAGGATTATCTTTTAATATTCCTTAATTTCAGTAATTGCATAAGATGGGATTTAGACACCTCCCACTGCTTCATAGGCATAGTTTAGACTGCTGCATTAAGGTGGCATGTCATGATCGATTCATCACACAGCCATCACTGACGTTTCCCGTGCTGTGGTGGCTTTCTTGAAAACCCCCGGAGCTGATCCTGGTGACATGGCTTTCTTCAGTGCTACCTGCTGGAGTTTTAGAATGGATTTGTAGCCAGTTGGAATAGAAGTTGTCCTGACTGATAGCTGTCACATCTGAGCACCACGAAAACATCATTAAGGATGTAAAGGAGCTGTTCCAGGTGTTGTTTCCTCCAGTTCACACTAGTATAGCAATGGACAAGTACAGCACTGGAGAAGGAGGCCTATGAAGACAAGCTCTGAATTTTCTGGTTTCGGAGCAGAGACAGTGCTTGCCGCATGGAAAGATGCACGCAGATCTAGTCACTCCAGACAGCTGTAGAATCTTGAGAGGTCCCTTCTCTGACCTAGTGCTCACATTCAGGTCAACTGCTTTTGAGATCTGTTAACATTTCATGGCTCTCTTTTAGCCTTTCGCAGTGACACGTGTTGAGTATACCAGGGGTCAGCAAGCATACCGCGCCTTGGGCCGGTGTCTCCAGTGCCGATTGCATGGCGAGCTGGAGGGTGGGGGAGCGCGTGCCCATACGCGTGCACACACTCTATTTCTGGCGCACTTCTGGGTCGGAGGAGCACTGGAAATAGCTTGTGCACATGTGCACGGGCCTCCTCTGACCCGGATGTGCACCAGAAATAACGCTTGTGCATGCGCAAATAATTCTTGCACATGTGCACAAGCTATTTCCAGTGCTCCTCCAACCTGGAAGTGGGCAGCCATGCAGTGCAGCGCCGGTAACAGCGGGTGGAGGCAGCGGGCAGAACGAGTTGCCGCGGGCCAGATAAACGAGTCCCATGGGCCTTAGTTTGGGAACCTCTGGAGTATATGCAGTGATGGAGGAAGGGAGGGTGCGGGCCGCCCCGGGTGTCATCAGTGAGGGGATGTGACAAAATGACAAAAATGTGAGTTTTTTAAAAAATGGGGCTCACAAAACTTTTTAGTTCAGTCAACAAACATAACGAAATGTGGCTGGCACTTATTGCGGGGCCTGCAGCGTGCCCAAGCCACGCGTCTCTCCTGGGAGTGACATGGTGGTATGGGTGCCTGCAGGCTCTGCGCTGCCTGAAATGGCAGTTTGGGGCATGCATCTGCCCTCCGCCTCTCCCTCAGCTGCCCTACAGCTGAAGGGGAGGCGGCGGAGAGGCTCCATGCCCCATGGGCGGCTCGCCCCTCCCCCGGTTGCAGGATGTGCGTGCTGCACCAGGCACCCGAGCGACTAGTTACGCTGCTGAGTATATGATTCTTGGCCTTCGGGTCTTCCATTTTGCTAAAGATCTCATTAGTTGAGGAGCATCCATTTTAAGTTTACTGAGTTGGGTGCCAGGCTTGGAGCACCCTGGAGACGGTCACAGAATAGTTAAGTTAGTATCACCTGGGGTTTGTATCTCTCAATCAGTGTACCCTCAAGAATGTTGACTATGTCACTAGGTCAGAAAGATTCTTTGTAACTTGTTTTCTCGGTTTGCTTGATGTAGCAGTTCAATTTGAGCCAGAAGAGAGACTCTTGAGACTCTTGACTTATCTAAGAGTAGTATCCAACTCTGGCATGCAACAGCTTGTTGCACTTAGCGCTTCAGGCTGTGAATAACTGCTAAAGTACCTATCTGACATATGTGCTCTGGTAGTTCTCTTGTAAAAGCAAATTGCTTCTGGTCTGGAGCCAAAATAAGCAACAGCTTAGTGGTGCTTGCTCCAAAAAGGTTTAGGGACATGCAAAATTTGGTGTTCAGCATATCCTTACTTTTCGTTCTCCTTTTTGGTGGAATTATGGTAAATAATTCTCTCTGTGAAATATGAAATAGATCCTCAATGCCTGTTGCTTATTGGCAAAATAAATTATTTTGTATAAAGCTTCTAACCTATGGTGTGTAGCTAGTAGTATACTAATGGATCTTCTAATCCATGTAAGAAATGAGGGTGGAATCTTCAGTTTCTACAATAAACAATCCTGCACCATGTGTAATGAGTCAGATAAGCCATAAGGCACTATTGCATATTCATCTGGGTGAAGAGTAAAAGATTTAAGGGCTCATGAGTTGGACCTATCTTGGTTGTTACAAGGCAACTCTACTTATCTGTAACTTACTGGCCTTGCAGGAGAAGAGCAAAGATGCTTTAAAATGTTATTTCATTGAGCTCAATTATAAGATTTGTTAACCTCATGTGGTTATAGACTTGATTACTATGAAATGGATCTCTATGGTTCCTGTTCTTAAAGAATGATTGTTTTTAGAATAACTTTTATGTATTGACATTTAACAAGGTGCTGGATCCAGATCCTAATATTGCATAGCTTTGATGGCTTTGTTTGTTTTCGTCAGCTGTTTCTGATGGATGCTTTGGGCTTCAAGGCTAGCTGGAAAAGAGAATAAAAATGCTTAAATCATACTATCTCCTTCCTTTGTGGAAAGATTTAGAAGAAGGGAAAACATAAATAGTGAGCTCTATATTGGGGGTGGGGGAGGAGAGAAGATGTTGTTAACTCAGCAGATTCAGAGTGACATGTTTCACATGCACCTGGCAGCCCAGATCATTGTGATCTGTTCATGTTGTTAAGGATCAAAAAGTAAATTAAAGCCCCAGGAGTTTTCTTCTTGTCCAAATTTTCTTCAATATATGTTTTTAGGTGATTCAACATTACAAATAAAGGTCACGGCAAACTCAGCTCTGTTCTTGATTGTGGGGTTTGTTTTTATAGCGACCAGTGAGAGGGCATCTCAGTGATGTAACATGAAAAAGGCTTTTTGGTTAATTGGTGGCTGGACCTCTGGAATGACAAAAGCACTGTGGTGTTTGGATTCTCCACAAAACCATATCTCAAGTGTCTTTTCTCTTTTTTTGGCAGAAAATGGCTGTTCCCCCTGCTTATGCTGACCTAGGAAAATCTGCTCGAGACATCTTCACCAAGGGATATGGTAAATATTGCCACAGGGAAATGGGTGGTGTTTCACTGGTTATCTGGGTTGTTGATTTCAAGGATTTCGCACAACTATAATTGCAGTTTCTGGCCAGTTGTGTGTGTTATAGATCACAGTCAATATACATAGATCAAACTGTGCCCTAAGAATAGGTCTTTCCCAGTATGCACTAGCTCCTGGGCATCATTTAGCTCACTTAGTAAACCTTCTGACTAAAGATGCACAGGACTTCTCTGTCCGTATGTATTTATGAGTATAGCTCATGTCCTTCAAGGTGTAAACTGCAGCAGAGGGATGCAAAGAATAGTTCTCGGATGTAGCTTCCACTTTGTAAATGCCTATCTAAGCCCATCTAACTGTATATCTGGAGGCAGCGTTGACAATTGTGTATTTTTAAATTGTTTTTCAGTGGCAGAGACAAGGGGAGACATGTCCCTTTTTTGACCAGACTGAATTAACAGTTTTATCCAGCTGCTGTCAGCCTGAGTAATCAGTCTTGTCACTTTATTCGGCAACCTGTGGAAGGGAGTAAATTTGGGCCAAGTCCCAGCTCCCTTTGAATTTGTGTACTAAATACTTTGGAGTATTTATTTCAGCAATTTGCCTTCTGATCCTTTGAAGAAAACTGTTTGTGTTCTGTTAAATATATCATGGAATCATTGATCTCACCATGTGTTTTCCCATTATTCATTTTATTTATATCCTATCTTTCTTCCAGTATTGCCTCACAACACGAATTAAAACAGATACAACTGAAAACACACCAATCAACTGAAATATATAAAAATGCTGTTCATTTTACTTCTTGTAAGAACAGCAGCAAAAGTTTATCATGTTTATCCTGATTGTCCTGTGGCTAGGTAATATATCATGTGAATATAATCATATCCCAACTTTCTGCAAGCTGCAGAAATTAGTGTAGCTTCTTAAATGCTTTTCTTCCTGCATAGAAGACTTACATTTTATGAAAGTTCAATCAGAATCTCTGCTTGCCTCTGCCCCAGATGGTTACTGACATCATTCTGGCTTATTTATATTTTCTTAGGATTTGGCTTAATAAAGTTGGATTTGAAAACAAAATCTGAAAATGGACTGGTGAGTAGAGAAAGACCAAACATAATTTTTAATGTCATTTTAATTGACACTTCCAATAAAGCCACCTGTCTACTTGGACAGGGGCCTGTATATTTCTCTAACTCTGTAAGGTGACTTTGTGAAAAACAATTTTTCACCCTGCATTTTGTCCTTAGGAATTTACAAGCTCAGGTTCAGCAAATACAGAAACAACCAAAGTTTCTGGAAGTTTGGAAACCAAGTACAGGTGGACAGAATATGGCTTGACATTCACAGAGAAGTGGAACACAGACAACACACTAGGCACAGAGATAACTTTAGAAGATCAGGTGAGTGTTACATTGAAAGATGGCAGTTTTTCAGCTCTTTAAGTACTCATCTTTTCAAACTATAAATGCAATTGGTGAATTTCTTTTTCTGTTCAGCTTGCACATGGACTGAAGCTGACCTTTGACTCCTCATTCTCTCCTAACACTGGGTAAGGAGTGGGTACATTCATACAGTAGAAAAACCTTTTTGTTGTTGTTAGTTGCCTGCTTAATTTGCTTTATCTTTCCAATCTGGGCTGCATTAGTGATTATCCTTTGTGTGCGATCATCCCTCCCCTTTTCATGAAGGTCTTTTCTTTTTGCAAACTTAAGTGTGGTGCTATTTAAAATAGTTAATCACTTGAGCCAGTTGTCATAACTGCTGCTAATTTTGGCTTAAGATGCACATGTGGGTCTTATAAATGCAAAATACATCTTCCAACAGCCTGCAGTGCAAGGTCTGTTTAGTGCTACTTAACAATAACTGTCTCACTCTCTACCACTAAGTTGTGCTATTTGGGACGCCTCTTCTTCCCCTGCCCCAGCTGGATTTCTGGTCTCCATTCTTGCAGGCTGTAACGCTAGATGCCTTTGGTTGGATGAAAGGTTTTGATGCTGTGGTTGTTTCCTGCATGTTATGTGGGCCAGGAGGATTAAGCAGCTGGGGGATTATACGTACTTAATATTTGTGTGTGTGCGTCTTCATTTTTATCATCCTTTCTAAATGCTCCTGATGTCAGAATGTTGCACAGCTAAAAGTAGCGCATTGCATTTCTAGTAATCAGGGCTGCATTCATTATGTGTGGTGTCCCTTTCCTGAGTTGTGGATGTTCAATCTCAGAATGATTACTGAGTATCTGCTCCATAGCCTCCAGATTTGGCTTTGCAGCATCATTACAAACTCAGGTTTTACTAGCAGTGCTTACCTGGATGGGAATAAAAAATGTAAAATGACAGAGCACCTTTGCTAAAAGCACCAGGGGTTAATGTGGCATCCACCTTAGCATTGACACGAAGCTCTAAATCAGAGATCTACTAAAATTATTAAATTAAATAGATCCTTTTAATTACTGGTGTGATTTTAAAATGTCCATTTGGGAATTAGCCGTTTTAAGACCCAATTTAGACATGGTGTTAAATGCACCTCTTGGTTGTTGCATATTTTTTGTTTCAAATTGGGGTGTGTGTGATTCACTTCGGGGACTGCGGAATGTAGGAAAGGAGTGGTTTCACTCCTTCCTCCTTCACCATTGTGCTAAATAAAATTCCTCTCTGCGGAGCTGCTATTCACCCAAGACACAGGGAACATTGATTTTCATCAGAACCACAGTGGTTCTCCTCCCCACTCCCCATTCCGACATCACAGTCCTGATGAAAACTGGTCTCCCTGTACTTGCCATTAGTAATGAAAGGACAAAAGTTGCCGCAGCATGTTGTGTGTTTAGTGTTGCGTTAAGTGTGGCCCTTTGCAACCCAATTTCAGAAATTGCATTTTCAAAACAGCTGAATTACTGATAGCAGAGTGAGGAGGGCTACATCTTAAAGGCAGGTAAGACACAGAGCCATAAATCCCCTTTCCAAGTGAGTGGGTATTGAGAGGAATGCTTGTGTGGACTGGACTCCAGCGACAGGTAATCCTTTCCACTAGGAGTCCTCCATTCTGTCTCCATTCTTGCCTTCCTGCTACCTCATTGGTGGCACAGCAGAAACCACACGTGGGAGCGATGAACCTCAGTCCTGTCATTCCCTTGGTGCAGGTGTCTGCAAACTTTGACTCACCTTCATAACCAATCAAAATGTCACCACCAGCCACACCTCTCCCCTGACCTGGTACCTTGGAGCACCTCTGAAGCTCAATATGAGGTCAAAGTGTCCATAACACGCCTTGGGGGCCCCCACTGCCTCCGGTATGAGACAAGCCTCTCTGGGCGTTGTCCGGTGTTGCGCTCCCCTGGGATGGACATCAGTCTTCATCCCGGAGCACTCAGGGACACAGGTCGGATGATCCTGTGCACGCTATTAATCAGCAGAGTCTGCAGTGATGACTGGAAATATGAATGTAAACATTCTTAGATTCATTTTGCAATATTTACAGGACAAATCATAATGGTGTCTGCTCTCTTCTTCAGCAGCAGACACAGAGAGAAAAACACAGTGTAACAGCAAGACATAACAGAAGAGATAAGATGTAACTTCCATCCTCAGACTTTCCCAGCTCAGGAAAGTAAACACAGACATGTGACTTACCAGTCATATATCAGCAACGGAGGAGTGATTTGCTAACACAAGGGAGACCCCCCATCCATCTTTCACACTGCGATGGGATAACCTGTCCCTGATTTCTGCAGAGGTGCTAAGGAAAGCTGCACAGAGGAGGCTGGCTTCCTTCATGTTGGGATAACACCCCAGCGTAGCCACTGGCTTCAGTGGGGAAAGACCCTGCTCTCCTTTTATAAGTGGGTCCCTTGATGGAGTTTGGGAGTTGAAAGAGAGGGTATGTGACATGCCTGGCAAAGAAAGCTGGGGAATGGCTAAGGAAGTTTTCCCTGTGGCTTCCAAGCAAGACCGCAGGGCGGATGTGAAAAGAAGGAAGGTGGCAGCTTTCCTGAGATGCTAGTTGGGACTGTTCATGACTGTCCCTTTCTCCATCAGTGCCACACAAGCATTCTTTAGGGAGGGAGTATAGTTCAGAGGTACAGCCTGTGCTTCACATGCAGAAGGACCCAGTTGATTGCCCAGCACCAACCTAATGGCCTAAGGCAGCAGTTCTCAACCTGTGGGTCCCTAGATGTTGTTGGACTACGACTCACATCATCCCTGACCACTGGTCACGCTGGCTAGGAATGATGGGAGTTGCAGTCCAACAACATCTGGGGACCCACAGGTTGAGAAACACTGGCCTAAGGGTCTGAGTATAAGGCAGTTTCCTATGTTCCTTACATGCACAGCAAACTCCAGCTAGATCAGATAGCAGGTAATGGGAAAGTGCTATCCAAGACTCAAGCCACTACCAGTCAGTCTAATCAGTTCTGGGTTAGATGGACAAATATTCTAGCCTAATATTAGGGTTCCTGCCCATATAAAGCTCCTTAAAAAACACACCACGCTGTTCAGGAGTCACAAATGTCAGATATGCATGTCCTTTCAATTAATTCCAGGGAAAATGGAGGCAGGCCAGCATCCCTTGAATTAATTATGTGGTTAAGTGACACCATTTATATAAATGAAGTAGTGAAAGTGTTGCTTGACAAGGACTGGTGTGCGTTACTGATAGCACCTGCCTTCAGTGAACCTTGAACTGTGATCTCTTGAGGTGGCTCTGAGGTTTGCCTCTTCTCCAAACTTGAAATGGAGGTGCCGGTATGTGAAAGAGGGATATGTCTGCCGATTAATGTAGCAGTCACCCTCCTGGGGTGCATGTCACGTCGAACCACGAGCTGTTACACCTGGGGTCTTGGTCTTGGATCATCTCAGTGTTCCAATTGGCTTCAGTGTAAATATCCAGGTTGAATGAATTGAGAGGAAATAGTGTGGTTGATTAATAACAGGTAAAAAAGTAGGTCCTTAATTTAACCAGCATGTGGAAGGGTGCCTGGTGATAAAGGCATTGTAAGTAAAATGTTTGCCAGCCATCAGTTTTGAGTCAATATCTTCAGATAATGTTCCAAATAATTTTCCTAACCCACTGCATTGATCATTAGTCCCCTGTATTGAAATAGTGCAGTGCCTATTTCAACAGCTCAAAACAGGACTGATTCCTGGTTAGAATCATAGAATTGGGACATCAAAATCATCTAGTTCAGTCCCCTGCTGATGTAATAAATTTGTTGCTGTATCCTCCATGATAGGTGGCCATCCAGTTTTTGCTTTAAAATCTCTAATAATGGAGAGGCTGAAAAAATTGGCCTACTTGTTTCAGCCACCAGGTGCATGATGAGGTAGCAGCTTAAGACAGCTTATGCATGGTGACTATAGCCTGTCAAGCGGCTCAGCATACAAAGAAAGAGGTTAATTTGTGTTGGCAGTCTCCATGTTACCGCTAAAGTTTTCTGGTGGTGGCAAGAACATAAGAGAAGCCTGCTGGATCATGTCAATGACTCATCTAGTTCAGCGTTCTGTTCTCAAAGTGGCCAACCAAAATGCCTCTGGAAAAACCATAAGCAGGATCTGAGCACAAGAGCACTTCCCTCCTGTAGTTTCCAGCAACTGATATTCAGAAACCTTTCTGCCTCCAACTGTGGAGAATGCATGGGACTGGTACATAGCAGTGAGGGGGAAATAGCTTTAGAATGCATGATTTAAAATGAATACTGTAAAGCACGGTTTTCCTTTTAGGAAGAAGAATGCTAAAGTCAAGTCTGGATACAAGAGGGAACATATCAACTTGGGCTGTGACATGGATTTTGACATCGCTGGTCCTTCAATACGTGGTGCCTTTGTCTTTGGCTATGAAGGTTGGCTGGCTGGTTACCAAATGACTTTTGAGACTGCTAAGTCCAGAATAACTCAGAGCAATTTTGCTGTTGGTTACAAGACCGATGAATTTCAGCTTCACACCAATGTGTAAGTACTGGGAAGACTGCATACTGGGAAAGTATTGTAATAGAAAAAAAAAAAGCCTATCAAGTTGGTGAAAAGGAAGGTGGTACTGTTTCTTTATCAATAACTTGGATTCTTTAAACATCACTATGTGGTTTGGTAGGAGGAAGATTGTATCTTCACTTATCCAAATTTATATTTATTCAAATATATAGGACCTTCCAGATCATTTCTAAATCCAGATCTCCAAAACCCAGATGAAGGGTTTGGAGACCTGGGTTCAGAAATGATTTGGAATGGATGACAGACTTAAATTCACACTAGTTTATTGAAGAAATAAAAAATGTGAAAGGATGTTGTTAATATATTTCCTTCATGTGTTTTTTTTAAAGCACTATATATAATTTATTGTAATTTAGACTGCCCTTCATCCTGTAGGATCTCACAGCAGTATACAAATGATGAAAAGTTAAACAATATAAACATTACAAAAAAGAAACATACCCATGCCTAGGCTTGCACACTTCCCACAAATGACTGTACAATAAAATATGAAAAATGTTCTTACAGGAATGATGGCACAGAATTTGGAGGTTCCATTTATCAGAAGGTGAATAATAAGTTGGAAACTGCCGTCAATCTTGCTTGGACAGCTGGAAATAGCAACACCCGCTTTGGAATAGCTGCCAAATATCAAATTGATCCAGATGCATCTTTCTCTGTGAGTAACATGTGGACACTCATTTTCATTGAGATTTATTCTGTTACAGAAGTTGACTGCTTAATTCTCCTGGAACTCCAAGACCATTTAACAGAAGCAGCTCAGCAGGTGGGGTGGAACAGCTATGCCAGCTTCCCAGCAGGTGGGTTTCTGTTGCTTCCTGCAAAGGGCAAGGTGGTGGTGAGGTTGGTGCAGTGCAAAAGCACCAGCAGAGCCAGTCCTGCACTTTCGCCAATGCACAGACCTTCCTGCTGCCCTCCCCTCCCCTCCTGGACAGCAACAGCAACCCATCTGCTGGGTCACCTACCTCACCTGGTAATCACTGCTTCCTCTTGCTTCACGTATCAAGCAAAGTCCAGGCAAGGAAAGCAGCCCTGAGAGAAAAGAGACACTTGCACCTCAGCACCTCTCATAAACACGAAATCTTTTTTGTTTCCATTTGCTTTCCCTTTAATGTCACATTTCTTAATTTATTTCCCCATGTTATTCAGCTGTATTCAGATACATTGGGTGTTAACAACATGGACTCGTTGATAAGAAACAAGAAAACAGCAATACAGCTTTGTAGATCTAGCACTTTGCCTAATTGCTCATTGTGAGTAACTATCACCACCACATGCCTTCTCACTGCTGCTGGGATGTGTATGCAGCTGCCGTAGCTTCGCTCAGTGCTGTGCTATGGCAGCTGCACAGACAATCTCCTCATCGTTTCCTTTGACTCATGAAACAACTGGCTAAAGAATAGAAGGGAGAATGAGCCAAAAGGTTTAACAAACCTTATTTATGTGTGTTTTGAACTAGCAGTACTGCAAGAGCTGCTGCACCTGTGGCTGGCTCGTTCTCTCTTCCATCTGAGGCAGATTTAGGGGAGTGCGACTGGTTCACCCACACTGGGCGCTGAGCTGAGAGGGTGCCACAACAATGACTTAGAATGGAAGGCAAGAGGGGGGGTGTGCTGAATTTTGGTGTCACACAGGATGCTGCTGATATTTGAAAGCCCAAAGTCTGCCACTGGGCAAGGAGGAGGAGAGGGCCTTCTTGGTGGTGGTGCCCGCCCTGTGGAATGCCCTCCCATCAGATGTCAAAGAAATAAACAATTACCTGATGTTTAGAAGACACCTGAAGGCAGTCCTGCTTAGGGAAGTTTTTAATGACTGATGTTTTAATGTATTTTTAATCTTTTGTTGGAAGCCGCCCAGAGTGGCTGGAGAAAGCCAGCCAGATGGGCAGGGTATAAATAATAAATAAATTATTATTTTTGTTGTTATTTGCAGGGCCAAAGGTCCCCTATGCCTGACATATAGGGTTGTGTCCAATGTTAGTTCTACTCTGAGTAGCCCCATTGAAATGAATAGACATGGCTAACTTAAGCCCATTAATTTCACTACTCCACATAAATTTTGCTGGGTACGACTAATTGCCCCACAATCACATCTGAATCATAACATTTTTTATTTTAAATCTCTGCACCTGAAAAACCCCTCTGCATTTTCCTTCCCTGGGATGTTTTATCGTGTTTTTAATATTCTGTTGGAAACCACCCAGAGTGGCTGGGGAAACCCAGCCAGATGGGCGGGATATAAATAATAAATTATCATCATCATTAATTATTATAGCCCCACATGTAGCCTCAGTAGCACTTATGCTTTAAAACACTGGTCTTTACTATGGTGGCTGTGGTTCTATCCTGCTCGTTCCACTTGTGGACAGGTGCCTGACAAGGCCCCACTGGGGAGGGCAACGGGGACGGGCAGTAGAGGCACGAGGGCAGGGTGAAAAGCAGGATCCAATAGGCAATCAGAGCTGTGGTAGAAGTTGACGACCCCTTTCATTAATTATTTCCTTGGTTGGAATAATGCATGGCACACCTGCAGTAGCTATTCTGGAGAGTGGAAAGCGAGGGCTCTCCCGTTCAAGGCCAGCCTTCCGTATTTTGTCTGCAGTATAGAGGCTGGCTGGCAACTGGATGACTTGCAGAGAGCTTTTAAAATGATTCATGGCAGCAAAACATCATGCTTAGCCTTAGGTTCAAATTTATAAATGGGTGGGGTGGGGTGCGGTATAAGTTTCCATTTGCTTTCCCTTTACACTGGCACAAGCCAACAGCCTAAGTTCATTCTACTTGTGCCATTTGAGCTGCAAGCCACAATATTGTACTGATCACCTGGAGAAAACTTTTGTTCAGCAAAAGTAAAGAGTTTGTTAGGAAATGCATGAATAGTCCTTTGCACATTTAGCTGATGGGGATGGGCAGGGCGGGGGGAGACCTGTTGAACTCAACAAGATCTGCGTTTTCAAATACACATCCACATGCTTTCCGAATTCCCAGTTTCCTTCCCCTGAGGAAATAAACTGTCATTTCTGTTTTCCACAATTCTTTTTATGATCTGCAACAAGAACTTTGAAAGATACCTTCACTTTTGTTTTTCAGGCTAAAGTGAATAATTCCAGTCTGATTGGTTTAGGATATACTCAGACTCTGAAGCCAGGTACGCGTGGAATAGAATTGTATTTGATTCTGCTGACCTTTTCTGTCCAAATGGTTATGGTAGAAAATGACATGCGTGATTTTGTTGTATGCTTGTGCTGTGTGGAAAGCCTGATTATTCTTCAACCCTAGTGATCAATTCTTTCAGGCTTTATTTTTATCTAAATTGGAATTCTTGTGAAGGCGACTGAATGCCACTCCATCTGGTTTCTATATTTTTTCCTGTACTTCCTCAAAAAAATTGCCACTACAGTGCCAAAAACATTAAATCTAAATTGACAGAAAAAGCTGATCAGTCTGTGTAAGAATTATGGATAATTGATCATGCTTTATTGTAGTCATTTGCTTGGATCAAATCTAAAATACTAAAAGAGGGTGAGTCAAAGGACAGTGTTGCTAATGCTGACATCACAATAGCTTAGTGAGGTTTCTTGGTAGTTGTATTGAAGTTTTGGAACCACTGTCCTATATCAGGAAAGTATTAATTAACCCTTTATATCCATTGTATGTCTAGTTCTCATACATCTCTCAGATAGGCTTCCTATATGTCCAGAATTTCCCAGACATAGCCAGAACACGGCAGTCGGAAACTGTCCGGGCAGAAATCTCTGTCAGATTGTATGCATTGCCCTTATGTTCCTAAGTATGAATGCTCATAGCTTCTCTCTCCCTGTTTTGCTATGCAGGTATTAAATTGACATTGTCAGCGTTGTTGGATGGGAAGAATGTCAACGCAGGTGGCCACAAACTAGGTCTAGGACTGGAATTTGAAGCATGAAAGAAGGAATTGTACCACCGTTATTTCTGGTGATTAATTCTGAAATACTATACAGCATAGCTACCTTCCGAATTTAGTGTACTTTTCAATGTTTTATGTCTGGGATGCAATTATTGCCATGTGTCAGTCATGTTGAACCTGGTTAAAGAAGGCTAAGCTTCAAAGTGTGTGTTTTCAGAGAAGGCCGGTGATGATTTTTTCCCTCCAGTTCCAGGCCTTTGGGGGAATGTTGCTTATTAGAACGCCATACTTACCAGCTTTTAATATGAAGGTCTGATTCTTGTCTTGAACCTTTTTCTTAAGATAATGGTTCCTGAAATGGTTGAAACATTTGGAATTCATGCTATGAGAATGCCAATCCATCCAAGTGCTTGGGAAGCTCCTTTTCCTGTCACTTGAATTAGCAGGCTTTCATTCTGTGATGGAGTGTTCAAATTTGTCTGATAAGGGGCTGCTCAGGCAGATGCATCACACACGTTTAAGTCTTACTTAGTTCTCCCTCCTACACCTTCAGCTCTCTTCCTACACCAACAGCTTGTCCTTGGAGTGCTTTAGAGTGTTCACTTCGTATAACTTTGGCGTGTAGAAAGTTTGATGTGACTCAGCCAACACCACTTAAAAATCACACCCCGTGTTGTGGTTCTTTCCCTTGCACTCATTATGGAAAAGCTTGTACGACAGAGCCATAAGCAGGGAAGTCTTTTGTAACTGTAATCACCTAGTGACATTGCATTAAACAAGATGGACTTTGTTTCTATCACTTCTTCTCCTCTCTTTTTAGCAGTTTAATGGTTACATCTTCAGTCTTCCATCTTTTTTTGTGTGGCATTAGACCCCAAAATGCTGTACTGGACACCACTTAAAATGAAACAAACAAGCAAACCCAACTTGAATAAAACATTGAAACTTCATCTCTAATTGTGTCTGTTTTCCTAAATGGTTTAGCATCTCCATCTGTGTTCTTACAAAACGCAATGGCTACATTTCTCTTGACAACTTATAGGTGTTTTCCCCCCATCTGTTGTAAGACAGAACAAACAGATGAGTGTATATCCCAGTAAAGCCCTCAGTATGAAAGCTTTTGGTTATTATGGAAACAAATGAGACCCCCCAACGTTGCAGTCACTTTCTAACAGGTATGCTAACTAGTCATATTCTCCTCTAGGACACTTCATGACTCCCCACTGTTTCCATGGTTTCTTTTCCAGTTTGACCCTCAACATTTCATGGGATAATCCACCCTCATTTGGATTCAGGTTTTTTTTTTTTTTTTGGGTGTGCGTGTATTTTTTCCTTGCTAAATTGTTTAAAAGAATTCTGCAAACCTTGGGATTCCCCAAAGCATGCTGATATCTCCCCCAGTGTACATGGAGTTAATATACACAAAAAATGTAGGTCTGTGTCTTGAGGAACTTTTGGTATGGGGTAGACATTTTGGAAGATGGAGGAATGGAAGGAATGAGAGCCTGGATGACACAATAGATCCATATAAGACTTTCTACTGTGGTATTGCACATCTGTTTGAGAGATCTACCCTTTCCCCTGCACTATGATTATAGTTGCTTTCATCACAAGCAATGCACATGATGGGGAAAAAGTACATTCCTTGGAGTTTGTTTACAGCCTTATCAGCAAATGAATAACCTTGACAGATGTCTGTCATTGGTTCTTGAGCCAATGGTTTATTACAGTGTTCCTGTTCTTTTCAATGTTTTGCATTTGCCAATCTGATTAACATGTTCTCTCTGTCCAAATCTTGGCTGAGCCAGAGCTTGGCATTTTTAGCTCAACAGGCTAAAGTTTGGCAGCAGAGAGAAATTCAAATTCGATATACCTGCTATGCGCTGAGTGCAAACTGGTAAAGCCATCTAAGCATCAACATGAACCAAGCTGATGTGATGAGAAGCATAAGCACTAACCAACCACAGATGAGCAGCAAGCTCCACCCCTACTGAAGACCCTACTCTGAATTGTGTGTGTGTGTGCGCATGCGCCAACCTGGCACTAGTAAAAGGAGTGGGGCAGATCAAACTACCTGAGATGAGGTGTTTCCACATGGCTGTTTATTTCAGACTCTGTACCACTCATGCTTATAAGTTTTTGTGATGTCTCCACAACAACATCATCAAACTTTCAGCCCACGTTTCATTTCGCTTTAATATGGATTTCCCCTTACGACAATAAAATCCAATAAGTAAACCCCTTATCCATCTGCCATCACTGCTGATGTGAAAGTTGCTTAATGCATTTTTTGGGTGAGTGGTCAGTTTGTCATATGTGTGGTGACATTTCTGTTGCTCCAGGCCCCCTTCCACCTGTGCAAGGCCTGTAATAATAATAGTAAAAAGTTTGGGGCTGCTTTATGTGCTGTTTCCCTTGTAAATTAAGCTAATTCCTCACCTTCTGGACTTCTCAGACTAGTTTTCAACTTCAGCATAAAGCACGCACGAATCGAACAGTGGTGCTAAGATGGGTGAAAGGGAATCAAATCAGCCCTGAGTTTGCTGCAAGAGGCTTTTGGAAAGGTTTTGGGGAAAAACAAAGAAGAGGCAAGAGAGCAACCCTGCTTGCTGCCTCCTGCTGTTTCCCCACCTCCCAAATCCTTCAGTAGTGGAGAGGTTTGAAAAAAACATCAGCGAGCGGCTCAGGACTGAATTGATTTACCTGCTGCCTCAGCAACGTGACCAGATCCTTGGATGCTTGAAGCTGAAGTTTAATGGTTGGAGAAGGCAGCAAAAATGGAATTATCTTCACTATCAGAAGCATTGGCACACACACAGGCCCCACTCAGAGCACTAAGCTGTTGCATTTTGTTTTTATTATTACATATCTTGCACAAGTGTTAAATCAGAACTGCACAATTATTATTTTTTAAAAAAGAACAAACTGATGGCTGTCTAGTCATCTAAGGTGTCTGAGGGAAGAGTGTTTAAGGAGAGGAACAAAAGCTACACATGAGATTGTACTTTGAATATCTTCTGCCCAATTCTGGGGCAGGCAGCAAGCAGCAGAACAGGGATCAATAGGGTGACTGGGGAAAAAGGGAGTGTGCTAATAGAGCGTGCAGAAATATCAGCTCTGAAAGAGTTTGTGAGCTAATGCCCCATCTGGACTCAGCCTTGGACAGGATTTGCTGCTGTGTGGCTTGGCTTTTGCGTGGACTAACAAGTCCTTTTAGCACCCTCTATTGCAACCCGCGCAATCAAGTTGCTACGCACATGGTGCCACATAGGCAACCCCTAGCAGGCAGTATGCAAGCAAAAACTCCTTCTCCCTCCTCCTCTGATTGCCTCGTACACCCCAGAGGCAGCACCCATGCCACTGAGAGGCCTTTGCAGAGGATATCAAGCAGAAAGACGCCGACCTGCAGTCTAACAAGTTGCCTGCCCATTTCCCTTGGGAGTCCCATCCTGGAGTCAAATCAAACTAGGATGTGGATTAAGAATCTCTCTCACCCTCTAGGTGAATACTTCTGGCAACACTCAGACCTTTATTGAGCAACATCCAGGATACAGAGCAACACCCACCATGTTTTTACAGAGGGTGGTGAACACAGCACATGATATCATGGGCTGTCCCCTGAACCCGCTAGATGACATCGCAAGGGATCGATGCCTTAGGAGAGCGAGAAAAATTCTCAGGGACGATTCACACCCCGGCCAGCACCTGTTTAATCTTCTACCCTCAGGCAGGAGATATAGAAGTATAATCAGTCATACCAACAGGCTAAAATACAGTTTCTATCTGTGGGCTGTTAGGCTGCTGAATGGAAAATAATATAGTGCAAATGACTTTTGGGGTTGGTGTATTGTGCGACAAGCACACAGAGTGCAATGAGATTGAGTGTTTGTGTGTGGGGGGAGGGAGGCTCGGTTATTTTCATTGTACACAGGTTGTACATTGACAATAAAGGTATTATTATTATTGTTTGGAAGAACCTTTTCATACAGTTCATGCACAGTGTCTACTGTGGTACATGCTGCCAAATCCAGATCCACACCTTCTGGAACTTTGCTTCCTAAATCTTCTATTGCTTTTGTTGGCACTGCTTTTTAAAACTATTGATTTTCCTGGGAGGGAAAACACACCAGCCCTTGATGTGGTGTAAAGTTGCATCATCCTTGTGGCTGTGTTGTACAAATTAAAGGGCATTGGCTATGGAATACACCCACAATCTGACACAATTTCTATATCTATCATTCCACTGGTGCTTGACACTTACACTGCTTCCTAAGTAGGAAGAGATGAGAAATTTGACTCAGTTCATATTTATAGGTGAGCCCACCTAATTTGCCCTTTCAAAGCAATACGTGAAATGAAACACAGACATTCTTTGAAATTTTTGGTACAGTTCTCCAGCTAAGTAATGTGTACAAAAATGCACATGCCAGGGTGATATGAAAGCATATATCAGTGAAAATAACATACAGAATGCATTATATTAAGGGAAATTGCTTTGCAAAAATGTGTGTATTAGGCATCAAATGTATACAGGAAGGCATACATAAGGAGAATGAGGACTTATTCCCCCTTCCCAAAACTGAGCTGGAAATGTGAAGAACTGGATTTAAGATTGGAAACATGAGAAACCAAGACTGACATATTCACCAATCGTTTATTCTTAAGGCTGCTCAGTTAGTAGATCAGGGGTCAGCAACCTTTTTCAGCCGTGGGCTGGTCCACCGTCCCTCAGACCATGTGGTGGGCCGGACTATATTTTTGGGGAAATAATGAATGACTTCCTCTGCCCCACAAATAACCCAGAGATGCATTTTAAATAAAAGGACACATTCTACTAATGTAAAAACACACTGATTCCTGGACCGCCCGTGGGCCAGATTGAGAAGGCGATTGGGCCGCATCTGGCCCATGGGCTTTAGGTTGCCTACCCCTGTAGTAGATCTTTGGAACAGGATTGTGCCTTTACTGCATTTTGAAAATGGCTGTTTTATTTAATGTGACATAATGGGACCAGTTAAACAGAATTGAATTTTAAGATTTTGTTTCGTTCTGCTTAATTATAACTTTTAAGCAGAAACTTTAGTAAGAGGCAATCAAATGTGTCAAATTAAAAGAGAAATGATAAACAGGGGGGGGGGAAATCAATTTAATATCAAAACCCCCTTAGCTTACCAGAGGCAAGGATGAATTCATCTCTTGAAGTGAGGAACTTTCTCCTATGAAAGTGAATTATGCCTTTCATCAGTGTTCTGGTGAAAGGAATAAAATATTCTCCAAGGTTTTCAGTAGATGAAAGTTGAGAACTCCTATTGATATAAGCTTTCTTGATTTTTGTGGAATATAAAAAGTAGGAATGAAACAATTCAAGCAAATGATGCTCAGTACAGTTTAAGATTCAAGGTTGCAGGATGGCTTCAAGTCTCTCATCAAAGGAAAGTATGTAATTAACACTGTCTGCTGTTTTCTGCATTTTATTTCTCTCTGATATCACTTTTTATTCTCACCCCCCACAAAAACCCATGTGCACAAATATCTGTTATTCAAGAATTGCACTTATTGCAACTGATGAAGTAGACTGTACTCTATGAAACCTTATACCATAATAAATGTGTTGGTCTTTAATGTGCCACAATCTCCCTGCAAAGGACTAATATTCCTCCACATGAATGTCATTGCTAGTCTCGAATATTGAATACTTTGTAGTTTAAAAGCTTAAAAAGTGCCTTTTAAAACTGAAAGCTGAAATTCACAGACCGATGGATTCTGTGGAAACAGCAAAATGTTGTCCCTTTTCTGTCACCTGTCGTTGAACATGTCTAGTTAGCATAGCTCTGCATGGAACCTCCCCCTCCTCTCAGTGTAGCAAATCACTGGCCAATTGCCTGCTAAGGTATGAGGCCCTGGCCAATGGGCGAGCGGCAGCTGCGCGTGGCCAGAGGAGGAAGGGGGCTGGGCTGAGCTGGCCAAGCGCATTTCCAGCAGTCCCTCATTGGAGCAAGCTGTTTGCCGCTGCCGCCCTGCTAAGTGCAGCTCCTGTGCCTGCCCTTGTGAGCAGCAGAGGCTGTCATCAGTAGAAGAGCCCACCCCCAAAAAAGCTTGCCGACCCCTGGTCTTAGGTGACCCCTGTGAAAGGGTCGTTCATCCCCCAAAGGGGTCGTGACTCACAGGTTGAGAACCACTGCTCTAGAGGGATCATGCCTCTTTACAGATCCTGAGAAGGAAGGGTTCAAATAGCAGCTGGCCTGATTTAAAAAAGGTAACTCTTTGTAGAGCAACAATATTTTTTTAAATAGTGCTTGGAGGCTTACAGTTATGGAGAATCAAAGTAAAAGATGCTTGAACTTGACATTCTTTGGTCCTGAAGATATAACTTCCAAGTACTGACCTTAAAAGTGGGCACAAGTCTACACAGGCAAGCCAACTCCAAGCAAAGCATACACATTATCTACACAGGCCATCATGATTCTATGAACATATAATATTTGCTTTGAAACAACTTCATTGGGTACTAGTTTGTTTTCAGATCCAGTCCAAGGTGCTGGTTTTGACCTGACCTGAACACTTTGGGTTCTTTTTGGGTCTTTAAGGGTGCTTCTATGTATGCCCTCACTGACACACCAATCAATCATAATGGCCTGTGTCCAGTCTTATTCTGGACCAGTTGAATATTCAGGACAGTCTTTGGGTGAAGCCCCACATAAAGTGCACAACAGTTCTGTCTCTCCACGACCCAGCAATATAATCCTGGATGTAGCTAAAGAGAAGAGGGAGCTGGGAAATGTGTCCATATGAGTAGGCTCAGCTGTCAACGTCTGCAGTTGCTGGAACTGTAAGTAGGTTTCATCTCCATGGCCCTGATATCCCCAAATGCACCTCTTTCACCCATAGTTGACAGTCACTCTTATGAGGAAAAGCAAAGGGAAGTACTTTGAGACACCATTGTGATGGTGTTGCAAGATGTTTAGATGACGGTGCAGTTCCAGTTACAGAAAAACAAGGTCTTGAGTCCAAAAGGACAGCTTTGATTCTGCTCTGGCAAGGAGTGTGTTTTCTTCTGATGGTAACAGATTCCTCATCCAACCACAGCCCATGGACCACATCCACATCCAAAGGGTCCCTGACTCTCAGAAGTGCCTTTGAGAGACTGAGGGAGCTGTAAATACATCCACAGGATCCAATTCACAATATTTTCCTGTACAGCAAAATATTATATTTCCTAAAAAACCCACCAGCAGTAAAAAACAACAACCCCCCAAGTGATCTCCAAGTTTCATGGTTTGTAAATCCACTCTGTGTAGTACAGAAGTATTCAACTCAGGGCCTTCTACTGGCAGTGTTCTCTGTATTTGGTTAGCAAAGAATTTCCCCCATAATTGGTCCAGTTATTGAATTTGCATAGACAGTTCTTCACATTTATTTTTAATTACAAGGTCTATTGCCTATTGAATTATGAACCACTGAAATGTACTTCAGTAGCTATGTTTTGTCTTTTGTTAAAATGGGAAGATTAAGACCCCTTGTTCAAACTGAGGAGTCCTCAGAGTTTTATTTATTAGATGAAATAGAAGCTAGATTTGGACATGATTCTTCATACAAAACCACAATAGTGGTGATGTTAAGAAATTGTTTTGAAGTCAAAAGTTGTTTTTTTAAAGTAACATGCTTTTTTAAAAAAAGGAAATTTGAACTTCATTTCATTTATTGAAAGCAATAGGCCAATCAGTATCAGACAGGACTGGCTTTTGAGGTTACATGGCTCATTTGGACAAGACTTGAGCTGCTTGCTGGTTAGGCTGAAATATTATAAACGTCATAATTACATGGGAGTACTTCCCACCCAGCTCAGTGGAGTTTACTTCTCAATCTCAATAGATCTTTATATGATTGCATAGCTTGTGACTGTTATTACTGTGAGGTATGTAAAGGGATATGAGTAAAAGGGTTGCTGTGAAAGGGTTTGGGGCCACTGTGCGGTCGAAGGCCTGATGCCTTTGCTGCAAGAATACCCCAGGAATACTGATTCAGGCAGGAACCAATGGTTCTTTCTGGGCAGGGCTGGTGCTATCATTGGGCCAATTAGGCAGCCGTCTAGGGCCCAGACCTCAGAGGGGTGCAGTGCTGACCTCTGAGGGACACAGTTTTATACATATTAGTTTTTGCTTAGTTTATCTGATACATTTCTGATAACATTTTACTTTTATTTCATATTTCAAATAATTTTATCATTTCTACAAGACACCTGTTTTGGAAAATTGAAGTTAGCCAATTTATTTATTTATTTATTTGGGGGTGGGGTGGGGTGGGGCGCCTAGGGTGCAAAATAGTCTGGCACCGGCACCGTTTCTGGGGTCACTGCAGAAAAGGCATCCGTGCTAAAGCTTATTCAGTGAGGGTGGGAAAAAGGACTCTGTTTACTGATCCAGGACCTTTAGAAGGACCCTCCTGCCAAAGTGGCTTCTGCTGAGGCAAAAGTGTCCATTTTGTATTACCTAGTGAAAAAGCTGGGTGAAGCCCACGTGGCTGCTTTATAGACCTCTTCTAAGGAAGCGTTGGCAGAAAACTGTTCTTATTCTACCCATTTTGGCATGGCCCCAGCAGTTCTCTGAACCCATCCTTCTGCAGGAAAAAAGGGGCCCAAGGCCTGGGATTTGATTGTAAAGATATAAATGCTACCTTTCTAACTGTATCTCAGTTCCTAGATGAGACTTATGGATGTGTTAACTGTGTACTCTTCTTAAGATTGTACAGTAGCAAAGTCTAGTGTAGTAAGGACCAGTGGAAGACACTTTGCCACCCTGGCAACAGGATAACATCCTTCACCACACCTGAGGCATCAGGTTAGTTAAGCAATCCAAGACAGACCATGAGGCACCCATCTTTGTTTTATAATTGTAATGGCTTTA